CTTCATAAAAATTATGTGACCACATCTATATAAGGTACATTTTTTTATACTGCTTTGAAAGCTAAAATTGCCTTGCTGCTGTGCTTTTATTCTCTTTGGTTTATTTATTTCTCTCGGATATTAAGAATTTTATTCTCCTCTTATATTGCATAATCCTTCAAGAAAATTTAATATTCTTCAGAATTTTCAAGTAACTCACTCAATTTTCTGTTATTTCCTCTCCCATTTCCCATAATTCAAGTTACTTTGTGTCTTGGGTAGTCTTTAAAAAAAACCCTACATAATTAGCTTATGGAAGTCTCAAGGGATATCTCATTAATGTATATAAATATCAGAAGGGAGGGTGTAAAGAGGATGGTACCAGGATCTTTTCAGTGGTTCCCAATGACAGGACCAGAGGCAATGAAAAATGAAACAAAAGAGGTTCTGTCTGAACATCAGGAAACACTTCTTTTACTGTGAGGAAGACCAAGCACTGGCACAGGGTTTCCAGAGTGGTTGTGAAGTCTCTGTCCTTGGAGATATTTTAAATCTATCTGGACATGTCCCTGCTTTACGTGGCCTCACTTGAACAATGGAGTTAGACAAGGTGACCTCCAGAGGTCCCTTCCAACCTCAGCCGTTCTGTTATTCCATGAAAAAGTAAAATTACTTCAAAAACTTTGTTTAGGGTGAGAGAATCATTCTAAGACTGGTTGAACATTGACAGGGGGAACCTGACTGTTTTGTAGCTCTTCTGATCCAGGTGTTCATGGGCAGCCACCTCTCTGCCCTACACTTCTTGCTTCCTGTTTCTGACCCCCACACCATCTAAATGTCCCCTGAAACTGTTCTTCGGAAGTGTTGAGTATTATTTTATTTTTGCAGTAGTGGTCAGCTATATCTATTGTCAGCACAACACACACACACAGTACAGAGTCAGACATACAGAGCCTTTACATGCTCTCAGTCGCAGCACCCAGTAAATATCCTTCAGGCTCATTACTATGTAATTAGACTATTGCATATAACAGTTTGATTTCTCTCCAAGATCCATTCATGTTTGAGGAAAGGAAAGTAACTTCATATATTGCCTGTTTAATCATACTAACAGATGAATTGATTTGAAATGCTCATAATTTTGAACTTTGCCAAGTTACTATCTCTGTAAGGCACTAGTTATAGTACCATCTACTGCACCACATTGCATTAACACACTTACAGCTAAATCCTCTTTGCCTTAACCTCACAGGAAATCCCATTGACATTAATTTGTTCCTAAGTCTTCTTACTATTACAGGGAGTTGCAGCACTTTGCAGGATCACCTTCAGGGATCACAAGACACACACTGGCACTTTCTGCAGATAACTTAGTCTATTAAATAACTCAGCAAGCAGAACTGCATTTTGACATTCATGCCTGGTGATTTTTGTCTTGGAGGGCTCAGGTGTTATGTATGCATTTGTAAATTTTTTCACTTAGACCATGGAGCTTTCAATGACCTCCTCAAACAGTTGAACAGTGTAGCAAATAGGGGCAGATAAACTAAAGACTTCAATAGAAAATCAGCTTTAATTGTTCCTTGCTCTTCCTGTCTATGCCTACAGTGAATGCTGTGGCTAATGCAACTTCTTCATGCCCCAAGAGTGTTTGGATTTCAGATTGTCCTGCATAAGAGTTTTGTTTTTTTTTTCACAAGTAAGCTTGCATAAAGACTTGCAGCATCACCATTCTGTGACTGAGGAAAGCTGACTTCTTCAAAAAACAAATATTCCTTAACTTACAAAATGTATCAGCATGATGTGAGAGTTTGGAAGCACTACAAGAGCATTACCATTTTCTTTAGAGAGTTGTCAAGATATGTTCTGCAGAGCAGTGTTTTAAAGTCACTTTCTTATTCTTAACTAGCAGTAATTTGAAGGGATTATGTTTTAGCAGGGGAAGATGGAGGGCCAAACCTGGACTTCCTTAGTCCTTCCCTATCTCAGTTAATTACAGCGGAGAACAAGAGGATTTTCTTCTTCTAAAATCAAAGCATATTTTCACAGTGGCATCCTCATAACAACCTAGCAGGAGATAAGTGATCCTGAGCCTAAACTTTATTGTACTAAGAGCATATAGAAGATTTATTTACCAATTTTTTTCTGGCCCTACTTCCCATCTCTTTTTTTCTATTTCCCTCTGCTCTTCACATTTTAGTTGTTAAGATGAACCTTTTTCTCTCTGTCTATCTCTGTAAGGTGGAAACAGTGGGTTGTTTCCAAATGCACTTGAAGCTCCTTCTTTCCACACTCCTTTTCCTCTCTAAGATATTTTGTTTGCTTTTATATGGTCTACTTTTTTATTTCAGAAGACACAGTATTGAAGCATTTTGCCATAAGGAATACGTTTTCAGAGGTCTTCAGGGATTCCTGGTATTTCTCAGGCTGCTGGGGGAGGTTCTTCAGTAAATAAGTAGGACAGTAAAGTTACTGTCAATGAAATGCTTCTCAGGCAACTCCCCCCAGTCACTTCCTAATTTCTAAATAAGCATGCCTTTTGTTGCCTCTCTTTGTGCTTGAATTCATGCACAGTTATGTGGGCTGGTGCAGATGAGCAGCAGTGACGCTGTATCTCGGGGTGGGAGATGTGGGAGTTACTCAGGTGGAACACTGGTTTATGTAATCTCCCCATCCCTGCCCATGGGCTGGGAAAAGGAGGCAGCCATAAGGAAGGAAAGAGATTTATGAATGCTGTGATGTGTCTAGGTTTTTGCTGTCACTCTAAATGACTGCATTTTCTTAATGTGGTACTGGCATTAACAGCTGAACAAGCAGCAATAAATAGTGCAAGAGGCTCTTACATATATTCATTTGTGCTATAAAAACATCTTACTGCTTTGATAAAACAACAAATCCATATTTCACTTACTGACCAATTTAACTCTAATATTCTATGAGACTATTAGAATCATCTTCACTTTTATTTTGTATAACTTCACTAACTCTGTAACCGATCTGGGAGATGTTTATGGAAAGGTTATTGTGTCTCTGTTCAGTGATTTATGATTTTCATCTGACTGAAATATCTCCATAGATACCTACTTCTGATTAATCTTCAGCTCTTACACCTGTTTTTACATGCTTTAATTGTGAATGTACCAGAACTGAGCTCTGTGATCCACCTGCAATATTGCCCTAAGTATCTCAACTTTCATCACTAATTCTTTTTCTGTTTTTTGCTGGTCTGCTGTCAGCAAGGGTGAACAGCTCCATATTTTTTTTTTCTATTCAAACGGATTTCCTTTTTCAAGTCTTCTCAATGCCTGTTTTACTTTTTGTACGGTTTAGAAATTGCATGTCTGAGCAAACTTCTGAAATGTAATCGCAAGGATTGATAAGAGGAATGTGATGGAAATGATTCTTTTGACTCAGTGCTGTCTCAGAGAAAATTTATTCTCAGTAAGAAGTTATTCAGAATCCTTTCTTTTTTAGTTTTCCTGAAAAAAAAACCCAAAACAGAGAAATTTTCTTCTACTTAACATTCTGAAACACTCATGCATGAATTTCTCTCTGATGCCAAAGTTGCTCTGTTTAAATGCTGATTGATGTGTCTGTTTCTTCCTTTCCTTTTCCGAATTTTGCTGGATCAACTGAAACATCCTTTTAAATCAGGTTATGACTTTTGTAAATGTCCACAACGCTCAGAATATTGATAAGAGTATTATACCAACATGTCTCTTTGTGTTAAAATCCCAATGTGCAGCCCCACCTATAGTAGCATAATTGAATGAATCCAAATAAATTGCACAAATGCCTATATAAAAGTCACCACAGTTTTAGCAGGTAAATAAGAATTGCAGGCAGATGTGATGACAGAATAACTTTTGAGAGAATAGTAGGGTTATTTTGCAGGGAAATACACCCCACTGAAATCCATGGGATCTGAGAAATGGATTCTTGCAATATTACAGAACCATAAAATCACTGAATATCCTGAGTTGGAAGGGACCCACAAGGATAATCAAGTTCAACCCTTGGCAATGCACAGGATCATCCCTCAGAATAAACCATGTGCCTCAGAGTGTCATCCAAGCACTTCTTGAACTCTGTCAGGCTTGGTGCTGTGGCCACTTCCCTGGGGAGCCTGTTCCAGTGCCCAACCACCCTCTGGGTGAAGAATCTTTTTCTAACATCCAACCTAAACCTCCCCTGACACAACTTCAGGCCATTCCCTTGGGTCCTGTCACTGGTCACCACAGAGAAGAGCTCAGTGTCTGCCCTTCCTCTTCCCCTCATGAGAAAGTTGTAGACTTAAGAGCAGTTTGCATGGGATGACAGTAAGTTCAATAGAGCTTTTGAACAGGAAGGTTGAATAAGTGCTGCTAACATACGATTGTTGATGAGCAATTCAAGAGTTTAAACCAGGTGCTGTGTTTTCTGTTGAAACTGAAAGTAAGAACAAATACATCTAATTCTTCTAGTGCTTCTCAGAGGAGGGTGCCCTGACTGTGATTGGTAGCATTTTCCTATGGACAGCACAAGAATTTTAGATGCGTAAAAATGATATTCCTGCAATATATCCTGATCCTGATTTTCTCCGATATCTGCTGTCAGTCAAAAGTTTCAGGAATTTCTTTATTCTGAACCCTCTGAATTTATCTGTGTACTGTTGCACACCATTTCATAGTTCAGTTCAAATACAAGTTTTTAAACAACTGGCATTTATCTGTATGTGACTGAAAATTATGACACAATGGAGACATCTTGTCATTAAGAAGTAGAACCAATTCTCATGAGATCTGGTTCTCCTGTGGACTTATCAGGTCAAGATTACAAAATTCAGCCTTTCTGTGCCTCTTATGCTTAGTAAAATGAGTAAAGAGATACCTCTGATAATTTTATTGCTTATTTTGGGATGTACCATGCTTAACAATATGATTTTTATTGGAAGCTATAACATTACTGTCATAGAAACAAAACGTAGTTGACAATCCAATCAGGATACACTACCAGATTTTCTTCTCTCTCTCTCCCTCTAGGTTTTTAGAGTGTGGGATGTACAAACCCTTGCACCACTGCAGGTCTTCCATGATAACCAAGGGAGTCCTGCAGAGCTGGATACCTTTCCCATGGTATTTGACAACGATCATGGCATACTTATCACTGGTATGTTATTGCAGCTGATGCATGAGAGCATGCCCCTTCTCCTAGAATGCAATTTCCTTTATGGTGATTTCCTTTCCTTCATGATTGCATACTTGCGTTCAGGAATAGGGCATACAAGAATATACAGAATACTGCAAGGCAAGGGTGTTTGCACGTTAAGATCATTTTGAAGTGGGCTCTATCTGGTGTTTATTTCAATATCAAAATATGCATTAAAATATGCGGCATAGGAACTAAATGCAAGAACCAAAGGAAATGAGAAAGACTTCTCTGAAGGCGAGGTGAGCCTCCCATGGCAAAATTAAACTACAGATATTGCTCTATAGACTTGTCATTTCTTGAAAGCTACTAAGCTGCTGGTCTTCCCCTAACAATTGCTCTAGCACCCTCCTCCCATCTGGAGATCAAAACAGCAACATAAAGTCTCTGTGGAGCCCTCACTAGTATATTCAAACTTCTTATTTAACTCGGTAGCTACAGACAGCCCCACAGTCTGTGGTGTCAACAGATGTACTGCTCAACTGATGAGGAATAAAATATTGTGGGAACTCTATCTGAGGTTTTTGGGCTCTGTTTCCTGACTCTGCAGGAGGGAGTCTGGAATCTCTGAGGGACCAGACCTTTGCAGTTGTCACTAAGGATGTTAGTCTTCCGTATCTAAGACAGAGACTCTTGAAACCAGAATGGTTTATCTGCCCTAGAGATGTAGTTGCTGAAAAAAAAACAGCTCTGAACTTCTTCTGGGGCTACAGAGACCTGAGGCATACGAGGAAAACAAGGTAGTTGTCTTTGGAGACAGATTTTTCTGTCCTTAGATTAGAAACAAGGCACAAAGCTTGCAAAGCTTGTCAAATCTGAGAAGATGAATGTGAAACATTTTGTTTTCAGTGAACTGGTAGTTTCTGGTGAATTTTTTGATTACTAAAGGATATAGATACTATCTGTAGTTCAAATTGAAGTTAGTGAGATTTTAAAGGCTTAGTAATGTAGGGAATATAAACAGATTAATCCTTGACAAAATGAGGTAACTTTGCCTTTATAAATAATGATTCTGTAAGTGCCTAAATATTTGTAAAAATCTGGTCCTGAACTCTGTTAATGGTTCCATTAAAAGCCTAAGGGAATGTCTCCTTGCCCCCGAAGAGGGCAAGAGTCTGAGCCTGTATGTGAGCAAATTAATTCTCATTGACATGTACCTGGCTTTACAGAGGAGATTTTCACTTTGTAGTTCACTAACATCTATAAATTACAGCTCACCTTCATGCTTCATTTGAATTTTGCCATAGCTTTCCTTCTGTGCCTTTTTCTAAGCTGCTGGCCTCTGTGCCTGGATTTACACCAAGGACTAGGCAATTTCATCCTTTGCTGTGTATTCACTGCTACTCCTCTGCTGATAGATCAGCAGTGATACTGGAGCTGCAATGGGAGAATGCATGTGCACTCTGGCTTAAGACCATTGTACAGACCTTGTCCTTTCTTTTGTCTTGTTGTTCCCATCTGCTTCTGTCTTTGCAACTCTTCTGATCCAAGAACACTGGAAGGTGTCTGGAAAACACCATTCAGACCCGCAGTGCTGTATAAAGGAAGGTACTGGAAAGACATCATCATTGCCTGCAGATAGAATTGCTTTGTCTGTAAGAACAAAGCAGATACCAGAGTTTATTTTAGCGATAAATCTCGCAATTATATTTTTATTTGTTTGGTTCATTCTATTCCATGCCAACCAGCTCTGGGACTAGGGGATTTACGGCTCCTAGCAATTTGTGGTCAGGGTGTCAATCCCATCAAAGGTGGGCAGATAGTTGTTTAAGGCAGGTAAATACTTAGCCATTGTTTATCTGGTGCTTTGTGGGGAGCATGTGTGAATGTTTTGTGCTTCAGAGAACAGGTATTCTCAAGAAACAGAAAATAATCCTTATCCTCTTCAGAAGAATGCAAACGAACCCTATTGCTCACATAAAATCCTTTTATGTCCAGGGAAAGTAGCTGATTCTATGCACAAAATATATATTCTCACTTCTCTCACCCTGTGCAGGTTCAGATGTCATTGATATTTATCCCCTAGCTAATGTGATAGAAGATACAAGACACCTGCCACGGACACATGAGAAAAGCATCAATGCTCTAATTTACAACAGGGCTCTTCACCAGATTCTCACCATTTGCACTGAGTCAATTCTGAAGGTAAGTGTAAGTTGTCACCATTTATACTGGAAATTAAAAGTCTCAGCTTTTTTATTTCATATAATTTATTGGGCAATTTGACAAGTTATTAGTGTTTATTCTTCTAAGTGTTGGTTTTGTGGCTATTTTTGACTTCCAGGGAAGTGGTAGCCATGATGAACCCTATTTGGGTTCAGAAGATCCAACTTTTCTTTTTAACAGTGTGACAGTGATCATCAGAGGTATCAAGAACCTGTAGTTTTCATCAACTGTTGGTAGGTTAGATGGCAAGATTTGTAGGGAGAGATAGTATCTTTCATTGGACCAGCTGGTAATGTGAACCATTCCTGTGGAGAAAAGCTGGTTCAGTTTATACTCTCGGTAAAGATGTTACTTCTCACTGTAAACCCTGCCTTCCTTAGACCACAATGGCTACACCATTACAATTACCAGATAGTTTGGGGTATTTGGTGCTGCAGAAAATCAGATGCAGACAGTGCACATGAAATCAGTGGCTACTTTATAAATCCAGTTGAATCTGAGCTATCCCACTACAGCAACCAACTATTTAAGGCATTGCTTAAATTTCTGAAAGAATTAGATAATGACCAGAGATAGTACCTATATTTTTGGAACAAATGTTTATGTAAAGTCTGATTTTTATATTCGGCACAGAAATTCTAACTGAAACCTTCCTTTCTAGTTAGACTTCTTTGCTTTTTCACTGTAAATACTCATTTGATTTAACATCAATCTCTCTGAATTGCCAAGGGTCTTTCTCACAGCATACATACTAAATAGAGCGTCCCCTTGCCTGAATAGCTTCTCTGGTGACAGGGATATTTTCAAAGAAAATACACTAGTGTTTCACTCAAAGAACTTGGTAGTGTGCTGCTGTAACAGATGTTACAGAGGTGTGAACAGAGACCACAGGATGTGAAAATTTGCTATTGGCAGTAATCTCTCCCATTACATTAGAACACATTGTGTGACAAGTTTTAGAGAATGTATTACAAATAATTATCATATTGTTTTTTCAGGTCTGGGACCTAGAAACAGGATATCAAATATATCAAATTGAAGATGCACATGGGGTGAATATTGAAGTGACCTGTGCAGCCATTGAAATAAATGGGTTTTATGTTGCTACTGGGGCATGTGATGGTAAAGCAATTAAATAATTACTAAATTTTTATTACATGTTTTTAAATGACATATTACATGAGCAGACAGAACTCTTTGTCTTGACTGTCTCAGCGACAGCAGAATTAATTTTGAAGGTTTGAAGGCACAGCTGCCAGTCTGTGGAAAAGGTGTGTGGGGGGTGTCTTGGTTGGGTTTTATTTGATAGGTGCTTCATAGAAAGGTGATTTTTGACTGCTTGGGCTCTGGTACTTTGATAGCCTATTACTCTCTGGAAGACAGTTTTCAAGGCTCTTGGTCTGAAAAGTTGTTTCCTCGTAAGACTTAGGATCTAGATCTATAACTAAATAGCTGCAGATGAAGAATGGGAGGTTTTAAATTTTCTAGTATCTCAGCTCAATTTTATAGTTTCTGCAGTCACTGAACACTAGAAGATAGATATAGACAGATACAGATATGTTTCCTAATTTTTCACATCTGTTGTTTAGGGCGCATGAGTTTTAGGTAATATGACAAGACCTTTCCAATAAACAAATGCAAACTGAATTCTGCAGGAAGCTTTAATAATTTTATGACTTGTTAACATGACTGAAAAATTCTCACATTCAAATGTTCAAGAGTACACACCTGAATTATTAAAATATATAAAATATATGAAATCTGCCTCACATGAAGAGGAGCTGATGGCCTTTTCCACACAGCACACTGGCTAATATTTCTTGTTTCTGCTTGGGAGCAGAGACTGCACCCATTACGGATCTTAAGTGCACAACAGAAGGTGAACGCTGTCAAGTCTTACAAAAGGGAAGTCATATATAATAATTTCATCACTTAAGAAAATTCTGCATCTCCTTCTCCCCAGTAGCTCTGTAGGATAAGTCCAGCAATCAGGTCTCTCTGCTCATTGATGTAGCTCAGAACTCGAAGTCTTCTCACACTCCTCTTGCTCTCTGATAATGTTAGCCAGAAAGAGGAGTAAGCACAAGTCTTTTATCCTGGGCTGCAGAGCAAAATAGACATGGAAAAAAAGATGGAAAAATGGAGGGCATAGTGGTAGAGATGTTTTCTTATAAGTTTTTTTGTCCCTAAGTCTGCTTTGCTAAGAAACACACACACTGTTGCAACTTTTGAAAGACCAGTGACCTAGCTCTCAACCTTAAGCTAGATTTTCTTTTTTCATGTCTTTTCCCTGTTTGATCTTATTCAAGCTTCTGACTTTGAAGCACAGGTTATTGATGAAAGTTCATTCCCTTTTCTACGTTTTGTCATCCCTGTGTAGGAACAGTGAAAATCTGGGAGTTTGAAAGTGGGCAAGAATATAAAGCCTTGCCTTTGGCCCAGCACAGTGAAGATGAGCATCGTGTACTGAAGATAGTCTATCTGAAGGCTGATGAGAGTCAACATGCACTTCTTGTTTTGGAGAAGACAGGGAAAATGAAACTGATTCAGGTTTTTCAAATATACTTCCTCCCTCCCCCCCCCAGTTTCATTTGGTATCCCCTAATTTTTGAGGTAAAACAGGAGTTTTTCATTAATTAGTAGATGAACTTTTAGAAACTGTCAAGGAAAAATCTAGTTTTTCAATGTCATCAAATTAGCTTTCTGCCTTTCTGTCTAGTGTTAAAATGCTCATTAGTCCATTGCTGTTTTTTAGCATTCTGATAATTTCTTTCCTTGCGTTTGCTTTTTCATTTGTGATTGAGCTTTCAGTAGTTACTGACCCTTTACGGCTTTAAAATATTGCTGTTGTTACTATATATGGTTTTTACCTTATTTAAAGAATTTCTAAAGAGAATATTTTGGTGAAAAGATTATTTTATTTTCTTTTTGTTTAAAATTACTAGGTTAAAACAGTGGCTTCTTAGGAACTGATACAAAGAAACACAACAGTAATAAATCAGATTGACTTGCTGGGCTTGATTTTGAGCATCTACTCTGTGTTCCCTTCAGCTAAAACTAACAAGATGCATTTGCAGCTTATAATAATTATAGTTTAATTTCTCAGTCAAACCATGTTTCTGTGGAATTTTCTGCCTCAAATTGGAATGTTTTACTTGGGACAAAATTCTTCTGAAACTTTAAACCTACTATGTGCAAGGGAGCAAAGGCTGTCAGGAGAAGCAGTAACTTTTGGATAAATGATACATTTTGGGGAAAAACCATACAGGCTCTCATCTTAGTAAATAATATATCCTTTTGAGACTCCTGCTAATAAAAAGCTGTTTTATACAGGGTTTGCTTTTGCTATTCAGAATTTTCTGAAATATTCCATCACACCAACTGCTTCCCAGTGTTATTACTAAAATTGTTCAATAGTTCATTTACTGTAAATGATGTAAATGTATCCCTTGACAAACAGGTAGGTGAGGAGTTGAATGTCCTTCAAGTCTTTATGAATCTAAGTACATTAATACTGTTTCACATACTTGTAGATCTACATTTTTCCACAGATGTTTCTGTGATAATGGGAAATAGAGGTTGTTATTAGCATTTTAAAAGGCTCCAAATATAGTAATTAGCAAGGTAAACTGAAGAAGCAGCCCAAAGCATTTCATCCTTTGCAGGAATCTACTACAGATCTCTCAATTTTTAATCCTTTCCCAGAGATGAAGGATTTCTTGCTTGATACCCTTAGTATTATAAAATTTACTAAAATCTTAAAATTTCTTCATTCTGGAGCTCAAGACACCTATGAAAACTGTAGAAAACCTGAGGAGCTGATTTCAGTAACACTTCTCAAAATGGACAGAAATATAAATGTTAGAGTAGGTACTATTTCTTTTATTCAGAAAAACTATCAAAGTGACTCCCAGTTGCCCCTAGCCACAATGGGGAGGAATCAATGACTTAGTGCTGTAGCTGCACTGGGGCTTCTTCTCTCATACAAATTGGAACAACCACCAGTTTTGCTGGATGTTTTGCTAGCTTTGAACTGGAGAGTAGCAATGTTAATGAAATAAGCAGCTGTAAATAAGAGACAGTTTATCTTAAAGAGGTAGTTAAACTGAGTAAAATCAACAGCTCTGAACTCCGTAGCTGCAGAGCTTCTAATATAACAGCAGGTAATTTAAGGTGAGCTGGAATATCTCTGGATGAAACTTCAGTTTGCATTGTAGACCTATTCTAGTTGATACCTGTAACAGTTTTTGCAATTTGGCACAGAAAAAAAAGCTTTGGATATACAATTGATACTTTTTTTTTTTTTTATGAATAGAGAAATCCTTTCCTTCCTCTTTCATTAAGTCAGTTATTTTAATAGGGTGACTCAACTCAAACACATCTACATGTCACATGGGTGCTTCCTGATGCAGTGTCTTTTCCACGAAGGAATCCAGTTGTATATCTGTTGCTGAAGCCTGACACCTCCCAAGATTTCTTTCCAGCTATTCGGATTCTGTCTAATATCAGTTCTCTGAGTGATGACACACAGGTGAGAAACACTTCAAAGTTCTATGTCATTTACAGAAGATTGGAAAGTAAAATGTTTATTGTGCCCCTAAGGATGTCATGTTTTAGCAACAGGTTAAGAACCAAATAAGTATTCCCCATTTGTGGTCTCTTCCAAACTTACTCATTTGATGATTCTGTACTTTTCAGTACACTGAAATAAATACAAAAAATAAATCATGTAAGAAAGTGACTGTTTCTAAGGGCTATATCTCCCTAATAACCCACTGTGTGATTATCACCATGGAAACCACAGGAGATGTTCTGAAAATAAACTTCTCATTCCTGTCCAATATAGTAAGTTGATATTCTCAAATAAACTCTTCTAGAAATGAAATGCCATTTATACTATAGCTAGGCTGACTTTCAGTAACAGTGGCAAATAAAGATCAAGTTGAGTATCAAAGTGATTCCATTTACTCTTCTTACAGCTTTGGTAAAATAAGATGTCAAATTAATGTTTCAATGGTTGACTGATTTAACTTGAATAGTTCACAAGACTTAAGCCCTGTTTTGTAAAATTTCACTAACTCTGTGACAGATCTGGATGATGTTTATGGAAAAGTCATTATATCTCTGTTCAGTGACTTATTCCTTTGACTTGATTATAGTATCTCCATAGATACTTACTTCTGATTAATCTTCAGCTCTTTTGCCTGTTTTTACATGCTCAAATTGCAACTGTGCTGTAAATAGCAGGTGAGGTAGGAGTCCCTGTTCTCTACAGCAGGGAGTCTCCCAGTATTATCACTCCCTGCTTCCTTCTGGTACTTCTGTGTAGCTCAAATACAGTAGTATTAGAATAGCATCCAAAATGCAATTGTTGTAGACACTGTCTGTTTAGGCATTTTGCAAATTTAACAGTTAAAACATTTTGCTGTCTAGTGTCCACATTGCTCCTACTCACACTTTTCTTTTAACTTTCTTTGTAGAGTTTTGTACCTTCTGTGGAAATTAACTGTTTTGCTGTTATAAAAGTAGAAGGATGGAGTTTGATAGCTACAGGAAGTGCAAATGGTGAAATAATTTTGTGGGATTTTGAATCTGGCTCTGTAAGATGCTTGTAAGTTTTGCTTTCGTGAAGGCCATTCGATCTCCAGTATTTCATCCAATCTTTCCAAATGGCATTATGAAAGTTTTAAGATGCCCAAATATAAAGGGTGATTGACAAGCAGGACTTGAAGTAGCAATTTATGTTGCCCTTCCTGCCTTCCACTTCAAATTACTTTGCTAGCTAGTCCTGACAGTGCAGGTAGGAGAAGTGATCAAGAGAGAGAGTCATTTGGGGAAGGGATTATGTAATTAAGAACAGTGTTTTACATAATTCAGCACTGCCACTGAAGGAAACTCTCACTATGTCAATCACTCTGTCATTGATTGGAGGCTGCTACTGAGCTGTAGAAACATCCTTATTTTGGAAGTTTTTGTGTTTGGGAGGACAGCTGGAAATAATGCTACTTCAGATGATAATGGCAAATGTTCCACATTAGCAGGGTCACTGTACATACCTAGAAGACTAGAAATTACATTCAATGAGGAGAAAACTGATGTGATTTTGGAGGTTTGAGATTAAAAATCTTTCACAGAAAGCGACAAAGAGTGCTCACTCTTTGGATGGTTCCATTAATTCTTATGCATATTAAGCTACTACATAAGTAAGGTGAACAACGGCAGTATTTCTGGTTAGACTGAGTGGAGCAGCATGGAAATATTCCTGTGCTGGCGAAGGAACACATACATTTTAAAACCATACAAAGTCAATATTTAATTATCCTACCCAACAGTTTCACAACATCCTTAATGTGTAAAATTGGCATGTTTGTGAGAAAACGAGCTGAGCCTTTCTGTACCATGGGAAATAATCAAAACTTAACTGCAGCTCTGACTCTGGCTCTTACTTTGTATTTGCCTCCCTATATATGAGGCAGGCAATTCATATGGATACATGGAAGACACGAAAGTCAATGCTTTGTAAGGGGAGTTCAGATGACTCTTTGAATGCCGGGAACAAGACACTATGCTAACATTAACTTAGCTACTGAACTTCAACATAAGAGACTTTACTTTCTCTTCAATACTAATTCTCAAGAAAATACTTGGCTGAAAGAAATTTTCATCATTCCATTAGGTATTTGTTTTTCCTGGCACAGGCAGGAAAAACATTTTGTAGATGCTCTTCACTGACATCAATCAATCATAACTGATTAACTGATTCCAAAAAACTGTCTAAAACTTAGGTGATACGTATTCTGGGAAATTAAAAGGTTAATTTTTTTAACTACAAATGAAGTTAGAAACGTTTTCTGGGAACAATACACAACCTATGTGACATATCCTGTACAAACATCTTTATTTTCAGGCATGAAACTAATAAAGACAGCCAGGATTCAGTTTCTCCAGAATGTGGAGTCAATGCCATGTTATTCCTTGTAGACAGTGCTTTTACTTCCAGGTAACTCTGTGCATTTTATCTTCCTGAGGGACAGGCACAGTCACTTAGAATTTTGTTGCAGTAAATATATGTAATGTTTGTCCAAGACAGCTGATTTAAATTGAGATTTTATTTCTATTTAATCAATTCAAGTTAAGACAGTTAGCTGGCTTTGCTATCCTGAAACCTTTGTAATGCTTATCAAACCGTATTACATGTTCTTTCTTCCACTCAGACATCCTTTTGTTCTCTAAATGACTTCCTAAGTCTCAATTCTGTTGAAAAATTCATTAGAAGTTAGCTTTTGCCAGGCATCAGTTTTCCTGTGTACTGTAGCTTCATTTGCTCTTATCTCTGTGAGATAACTGTGTGGCAGCAGGCTTTTTCTTTATAATATTTTTTCTTTATATGTATATTTATATATATATTCTTTATATATATATATTTCTCCTTTTTTTTTAAGAGACAGGCAAACTCATTGAAGTTTGTAGCTTCAAGTTTAATCTTAAAACAAACTAGAACCTGTCATAGGCTGGTAGTGTTGGATGAAGAAAAGAATTTTAGACAAATGTGCTCATGTTGAGAGAAAGGCATTGCACCTGTACGTAACTTCAGAAGTGTTTGTCTTCCAGTGGATTTGTAAAGGCAATGGTAGTCAAAAGGACTCAGTATGGTTTAAATACTTATGCAGCTTTAATCTTCTAGCAATTAGGCAGCTTTTTTTGCTATCATGATTTATAAAGCTGTTCTTATGTTGCTTTAAAACCTTCAAGTAGCTTATGCATTTACTACACCCCTCAATGTACATAGCAGTGCCACTTAATTGAATGTAAACTCTCTACAATGATTTTGAATCATATAAGCTTAGGATGTATTGTATTTTCTGGGAAAGTATCTGGATTAATTTGATCATACACATACAAAAAATGTTCAAGCATGCTAGCAAGTCTAAAATCAGACACTTAAAATTGCAAAGTCATGGCCACCTGACCAAATTTACGTAGACTACCGCATCTGCATACTTTTTAGATGGATTTTACATTATCCCACTTATTCAAATACTCCTCCCCAAAACAGAGCAGCTGTGACATTATGTGGCAAGAATCACTCAAGAGTACAGTCTGAATTTTTCTTGACTCAGAAACAAAACCAGTAAAGATTACATTACTTCTTGAGGATGAATTCCAGTGTTACTTTTCATGTACTATGGATTGAATTTGCTCAAAACTCCCAACAGGAGAGACTGGCTGTGTAATATGCAAATATTGCCTACTTACTTTGATAAATATACAAAACCAACAACCCTTAGTCTAATCAGTCTCATCAATTCAGGCTAATTTTTTTATGCTTTATAACGCTGGGCGATGTTGATTTCCAGTTGTCAAACAGTATCTTCAAGAATGTCAGTGATCTTCAGTAATTTCTTTCACATAGGAAAAGGAGTTCCCAGCCCTCTACTGCTGTGATGGATGATGTCAGTGCCACCCCAGAGCACGAGAGCAGTTCTTTGAACCCAAATAAGGTAGGTATGGTGGTTTCATGGATTTGGAAGCATTCAAAACAAATTTCTGTTGTCATTTCAGCTTTGGTTTTAAATTTCTGTAGCTTACTAAAATGCCTCCATAACATTATGCACAAAGCAAAACATCAAGAATTACAGAGAAATTAACTTTGTTCACCTAAACTGACTGAGGTGTAGAATTAAGAATAAGTTGTCAGTCAGCTCACTCTGTGATACATGGGATAGCTGACTATCAAAGTGTTTGTCAGATGCTGATGACTAACAACTCTGAATTTCAAATGGGGGTATAGAAAAATGCAAGGGGAAAGGTAAACCTATCAAATCATAAAGTACTTGAATAAAAGCAGAACCACATCTCCATTGCAGCCACACCTGTTTGGATGCATTCTTTGAAATTACAGTTTGTTGTGTTTTTTTTTTTTTTTCTTTTAATTTACCATTAACATGCCAGTGTCTCAGTCTGTTTGATTGAGATATCTATTTTTGTGAAGGATAGCATTATGGTTTTTGTGACATTTTTTGCCCTTCTATGCCAGAAGAACATGCCATATTTGCAAAGCAACAAAAGGTAAGTAGGCAAAAATCCTGTTACATCTCAGATTCTTACCAGCATGTTGTTTCAGCAGAGCATGCACTTCAGTAGATTCCCAAGTAGATGTGGCCTAACTGGCATCTGCATATTAAAGTATTCAGTGTATCGTGCTGTGTAATCATTAGAATAATAAAATGGACAGTCATTTGAAGCTCTTAAAAAGATCCCCAAAAGCACCACAAATCAAGCTTTACATATCCATAAGTAGGATGAGATTGAAGTGGCTTGACCTCTTCTAGGATACCACAAACACTCCTGGCTGCACAGCTTTTCCTGCCTTATTTTGACTTGGCAACTTTTGAGGCTGATTACTGTCAGCCCTGGGATCCTCATAAACCTGGTACAGTAAGGCACAAATAGGGACTGTGACAATTCTCTTGCTGAAGATGCAGATGTGAGTAAATGTTGTTGGTATTTATGCACTTTGTTAATTTTTGCTTAAGGCCATAACAAGACTATATACATGTTACAAATAAAACTCTCTAAGTAAGAGATCTAGGTTACATTCACATGACTGTAAATTACTGACTTTGCTTGTCCTAAGCAACTTGTTCTATTCAGCCAAATTTACATTTAACATGCTCCTAAATTCCTGTTAATTCAATTTGTGACTTTTTCCTCTCTTATTTTGATTCTCTTCAAAGGAAGTGCACCTTGTTTTACACTCAGTGGAAAATAGGGGAATATTTGGATCCTCCAACTAATAAAATTAGGTTCTTAAAATAATTTCAACTTGAGAACTGTTCTGTAGTTACACTAAAGCTCCATTTTCTAATCCTGTTATGTTTTATTCTTTGCTTTTAGGAAAACGTGGAAAGTGATAAAGTTAATACTGAAATAACAACAGGTATGAAAAGATGTTTTTTGTTCTCTGTTGATCTGTGACTTCTGCCCAAATTACTACAGAAACTCAGTTTGTCAGTTTGTCCGGTAGTACATCCCAGTAATTGGGATGCCACTGGTACATGGATGACATCTCATCATCATCTGCTCCCTCCTGATTTGCAGTTATTTTGCAAAAACCAGGCCAGAATGCATGATATGCAAGGTCTTAATTGCTGGTTTTTTACAAGTAGACACGATGACACCTTTCAGAATTTGCAAATGTCAACTACACAGACTTTTCTTCAACATAAATATTCTGGCAATGAATTACTGAATTAGTATAGCAAGAGCCAGCTTAAGTCAAGTATGACTGAATGGCCTCACAGATAAAATCCACAAAAGTAGGTGAAATTTTAGAAGGAAAAATCTTCTAATAATATATGTCCTTAAAAAATCATAATCAAGAGAGAGCCAAGTGCTTAAGAGTTAAAGCTGTACAAATGGAACTGGTGAATTTGCAAGACACAAATCCTCTAGCTTCTTCTGAATCCTTTAGACATCCTCTGCTGGAAAGCAGAATTTACCAGTAACAAGCGATTTGATCATCTGCAATATCACTTTAAGATGAATTTATTTGGCAAAAAAAGCATGCCCTGAAACCAGAATATTCCTAAGCCTTGTAGCTGCTCAGTGAAACAGACACTCATGGTATATCTCGCATCCACTGAATGAATGTCCACTTGACTGAGGACCTTCATGGGACCTGCCAGCATTTCCAGCTCTGGGAAATTCACAGGAAAAACTCAAAAAAGTTTCTCTGTGACCTCCACCTTGCATTTAGCAAAAGTTTGGGACTGAATAAATAAGTATAGAAACCTATGCTTCCAGAATTCATGTGCCATTTAGTTATTTAACTTCATTGCTGAATTTATAGCTATCTCGAAAAGCCTCATGCAGAGGCTGCACATCTGCCTGTCAGCTGTCCTGACAACCCTGGTCTTGCACTCCTTCTCCACCCTCATCTGTGCTTGCAGTTTCTGTAAAATCAATGGTTCTGCTCTACAGAGGTTCCCTGTATCACAGAGCAATAGTTCTGGTTGTTTTAGATAAGATCATGAAGATTGTTCTGATTTCTTTTCAATTGTCTTTATCCATACCTGTAATGTTTTCAGAGTAATGCTATCTTGATGATGGAGTTTATTTTGAAATTCACTTTTTTTTTCTAGTGTTATGTAATTTTTGTGCATTGAAAAGCCATACTAAAAGTTTTTGATAAAATTTATGATCATTTATGTTCCAAAGCAGAAGACACAGCTACATCCGAGGATACCCAATACCCAGAGATGAATGTACAATCATCCAAAGCTAGAGTAGGACACTCACCAATACTGGCCTCTGCTCATGAAAGTGGCTGTATCCGCCTATGGAGTGTTCAGGTAACTAACTGAATGTCTTTGGGATGGGACTGGACCACTGAGAAGATAATTCCACTAATCTTTGGGAAATTGCTTTGTAACTAGCAATTGCAGCAGCAGACATTTACTGCATTTTTTGCTTATTAGTTTCTTCCATGGACACAAATTAGTTCTGTTTTAATAACTGTAGCAGGGAGTAATGGCAAGTAGAAAATGATCTGAAATAACTGAAACAAACTGACTGTAAAGTTAAGTGAAAGTCTAGAATTCTATTTTTCACTCACAACATTTACTTTCTAGGAAAGTATGATGGGCACGGCACAGTGTCCTACTCTCAGAAGAGGAGAAATATGTCTGGAATATTGCACAAGTCAGCTAGCAGTAGGAGGGTTACAAAGCAGGAATGAATAGTATTCTAACACATAGTGTCTACAACTATTATAATCTTGAAAAGCCAGTCCTGCAACTGAGTGCCAAAGGCATAGTTTTCATATCATCTAAGATTTCTAAGACTCTATTCCAGAAAACTTATTACTTTAAACAAGAGATATAAAGTAAATACAGCAAGAAGGGGAAGTCATATGCTTGGTAATATGGGTCATTCTGGCAGGCAGTGATCATAACTGGTCAGCCATGTAAGGCTTGAACAGGAATCCCAGCAAAGGCAAGTCATAGGAAGAATTTTTCAGAAAGGAAAGGTAACCTTGCAAATGTTTTATGCAAAAAATAGAATATGATGGTAAGTGTATCCAAGTAGAGTAGGTGTGGGCTTTGTTGTTTTTTTTTCTTCATCACTGATATATTAGTCTGCTTAGATTCCTATAGGAATCTCCAAATTCAGATAACAGTGATGTAATCACTGGCATGATTTTAATCATCATTACATGGATGACAAAATCAAGAATCTCCTTACCAGCAAGACATTCTCCCTCATATTATCCCAAATCTGAAGAGGCAAAAAGGGATAAAGTCTATTGGAGCTTTCTTGAAAAATATAACAAATTGGTGAAGGGGACATCATGGGCCTATTCACAGCAAGAAACAACTTTTCAATAGCAAATGGGGTACATACTGATGATATTCCACAGCAAATGAGGGGTAAGTCGTGAATTAGGGGTAGGTACAACACACTGAATTGCCTGAAGAATTAAATAGCTTGTTCTTTTGATGTAGAATAGACAGCAATCCAGAAGAATACACCACAGCTGTCTTGATCATTCAGTAGATTTAGGAATTTATCTTTTCTAGAAGCTTTCTGAATAGATGTGAGTCCAGCCATATTGAATAGATAAAATCAATGGCACTCAACCTCTGAAGCATTATTATTTTTAATGTAAGAATTATAAGATAAATAAACATGTGGTGTTTACTTATGTATGTATGTATTTATTTGTTTATTTATTTTAGGGAAACTTAGTGAAAGAACTTTTGCCATTTTCAAAAGATCCCTCAGGTCCTCTGACAGTACTATGTACAGACATCTCAACTAAACTGCTTTTGGCAGGCAGTAAAGGTGAGTAAACATGCTAGTCATTTTGTTCAGGGCAATCTGTAGGACTGCAAAATATCGTGCCGTAAATGTGCCAAAAAAGTGGAAACAACAGACCAAATGTTGCTGGATTTTGTCCATCAAAGCCGTAATTAAATAATTAAAAAAGGTTTTTTGCTGTATAAAAGGACGGTAGATTAAAGCTTAGCATTATATTATTATCAGTGGCATTGTATTGATAAAAGACATTACAATTTTTTTCACTCACATGCCCTGCACATACTTCCCATCTAAATTATGGTATCAATACCAAGGGCAAAGATTACTGCTAAGAACAAGCAAAAAATTCAGATCCATAGTAATAATGTGAAATAAAAAGCTGCAGCTGGGGCTGTACCAAGAGCCACGATTCCAGCACTGTTATATTTTGCACAGTAATGGCTCCAGCAGTACACTGCTACTTAAGAAAACACTTGGCTCTGTGCTAGCAGCTCATTACTAGACTTCTAAAGTCACACCAAATCTGGTTTTCATTTGGCTGAATGTCCAAGAGTTTATCTGCTGTCTGATTCCTCCCCAAACCATTAGAATCACTCTGGCAATTTTCCATCTCCGGGTCTGTCATAAGAGACTTTTTTACTTTAATGTGTTACTTTTCTTTTCAAATAACTATTAGAACTGTTTTCAGCCAAGTTCCTGCTATTATGCTGTCAGAAATTGGATAGAACAAGAGGGTTTTTTTCCCATTTGTTTCAAAATTGAGCCACAGCTTGACTTTGATAATGAAAATGAAGAGGAGTTTCCACCCTCTCTAATTCAAATCAGTAAATGAGTTCAGGAAGGCAGCATGCACTGAACAGGACTTTTAATTAGTTGTGGGAAAGTAGCCACACTATTACCTATTCATTTGATACTCTCCTTTCGCCTTTTTGTGTTTGTGTCACTGTGTATTTGCTTTTTATGCTTTTTGCACCCTTCTCTGCAGAGCTGCTACCAATTCCCTGTTCCAATTACAGATTTTTCCTTGTTAGGAAAAGGTCAGTTTCTCTGCCAGCCTCCTCACTTGCTTGCAGATGTACAGTCCTAGAAATCAGATGTGACTGGTATGGAAGTTGGAATTACACGAAAGATTCCTCTGTCTATTAGCAGAAATGAGAAATAAGAGGAAACTTCATCAGAAAAGAGGGAGCTTAGGCAGGCAATGTAGCAGTTGTGGATGTCAAGGAAAGTGGTTCTTTGACTCTTGTTTCACAAGAGTGCACTAAAAGGTTGTAAAACATTAAACTATCATTATGTATACAATTAATCAAACTTTGTCCGTTTTACCAGGATTGGAAACCAGTTTAATCCCCAGGAAGCTTTTGTACCTCATCTGTTCAATAGACAACTGTCTTGGCAAGATGACTCTTATTTTTCACTCGTGTAATTTAAAGAAAAAACTTTATGTTCTTTCCATTGCAAACCTCTCCAGTTAATGACACATTGCTCACAATGAGTTTATACATTTCTTTGCATATTAATTAATTAATAGTCCATTATTTCTACTCTATGCTTGACAATGAGATAGTGACATTCACTGTAAAATAACTGACCTGTATTCCCTGCTTTATTCTGCCCCGTGTTTATTAATGGCAGCAACAAGTGAATGTATAGCACTAATGAATTTTGTTGATGTTTTGCTTTCTCCTTTCTTAAACAGAGGGATACGTTATGTGCTGGAACATTGCCTCATTCTTAGAAGATTCACAAAATAAAAAGAAAGTAAGGAAAAATCTATCAGATTTTCTTAATTTGAATATTATACCAAGATAAGATAGCAGAGCTGCAGAGGGACTAAAGATATTTCCTGCATATAAAGATCATGTCTTGTGGTTGAAATAATGCCTTGATGTTGTGAAAAACAAGAAGAACATAATTAAATGGTGTTAGCATTATTCCATTGTGTTCCAAGAAGGTACAGTAGGAATTAATGTACCCACGTCCCATTAGTGGTGTTTCTACCATATACCATTTGCAGGCTGTTTCAAGAGGGGATTATTTTTCATCTCTTCTAATTTTCTGAAAGACATGATGATATGTCCACTAAGCTAGCAACCACGGTGGGATACAGAACTGCCTCAAATGTGGTTATGTTGCTTTTTTCCCTCAGCAAGTAAAGGAGAAGCTCTGCTGGAGGCCACACAATACTGAAGTGGTTGACTTATTTCATGAAGAGGAGAAAAATGTGGTAGTGACAGCATCCACTGATGGTTCTGTCAGGTACAGAAATGACAAATACTTTTACTGCTACAGCAAATCAGTTGAACTGTCTTCAAAGTTTCTCTTCTTTCTGGACTTGTATAGAGGCTAAAACTTAAAATAAAACACTGGGTGCATTTTCTGTTCTGCACCTGAAAGAGCTGTTTTTAATGTAATACTTCCTGTTCTCCCAGGAAGTCAGACCTTTTGTAGACTGTCATTACTTTTTTCAGCCCTTTTTTGACCTTGAATGCATAGGTAACGGCTCCATCATTTTAGAAATTACCTCCTGTTCTAATCCTATTTTAGCTTTCAATACTTGTTAAATTGATATGGAACCTAAGTATTTCATCTAATCGATGTGTATGCAATTAAACCATTGAAGTCTGAAGATGCTTTAAGGAAAACTAATATTTCTTCTTGGCTAACAAAGGGGTTCTTCTGGGTTTTTTGGGAATATGACTGAAGAAATTTTGTGTAAATCCTGTTCCGGTGGCATCACCTTACTGTAGGAACAATTCAAGATATTGGTACCTTTACTCCCCACTTTCATAAACATAAAGATGAACTGTTTTCTGTTTGTTACAACAACATTCTGAAATTGTTTTTACTTTCAAATTACATTATACAGTGAAGTTCAATCTCTTTGGTGTTCTTTTATGACTAGCATACTGAACCCTAGAACAGTGCTGCAAAACTTGTTATCGTAGACAGGTATTTTCTCAATTTTGTTCCACTTCTAAAAGTATCCATTTTTCCTTTCTGTCCTTTGGTGCTGCTTCTAATGTGTCTGTAGGATTTGGCAGGCCGAGAATGGATACTATTTTGGTTACTTTGGACAATCTAGGAAGTTTGAATTATCAGATACCAGTCGGTTGATTTTGCCTCCTGATGTTAATAACTTTACTGCTATAATTAGAGAGGAAAGCAAGCCTATGGAAAAGAAGGTTGAATATCCTCTCATGCTGGACAAAGACAAGTAAGATCTCATAAATTTGCATTCATGTATGATTGGGGGAACAGTTTTGAAAATATACTTTAAAAGCATCTTTCACCTGAAGGCCAGAAAAATATTACTTCTATGAGTTATTTAGAAAAATTGCTTTTAAAGGTGTTTTTTATCCAGCATGGATAAATCTTTTAATTTTATGATTAGGTGACTGTCACAATTAGGTTCAAGATTTGAATTCAGTAATACTGATGACTAGATAGTTGTCTCAGCTTTTAGCCTAATTACAGACTGTATATTATGTACACTGTTCAGGTTAGCAAACCTGCTGCCTTTCATATTCCAGAAGTTGCTATACTTCTGGTATCCCCAAAAATATATCAAAAAATCTTACTGTGAATAGTTTCAACCAAAACACAAATCCTTCTAGAAGAATAAATCAAATTTGATCTTTCCATTTAAAAAATTATCATCTCAAATTTTATGAGGTGTTTATGGATACATTCACGTACATGGATAATGGATTCACAGATGATGACTTTCTGAAACTGCCATAAATGTTGGATGTTCGATAGCATCGTTGGACTTTTCTTTTAGATAGAGTTCTCAAGGGATATGGCTTAGTTATAAGTCAAGTCCGAGAGGCTTGGTCCTTTAGTTTAAGTCATATTTCTAATCCTGAAATCCCTGGTTCATTAATTAGTAGGTTGACCAAGTGAACAAAAACACCGATAAAGATATCTTCAGCAGCAACACACACAAGTGTCTTTAGTAACAAAGTAGTCCAAATCTGGAAAAAAAAAACACTTCAGGGCTTAAAAAGCCGTGCATGCTTTAGTGGTAAGATTTCATATACCATGTGCAGGATGGGGCTGTCTTTTAACCAAAGCGCTTTGGGACAATGGAAAATCTCTAAGGTGTTTTACTGTCACCCAATTCAATTCAGTGTACTGCTAACACTTGTTATTCCATGGAGTTCTTGCTAAAATGAGTAGTCTCAGTGCAGTCAGAACAGTAACTCTTCAATAGAAAGAAGTGCTTGGCTGTGTTTGAACGACTAACCCCTGAAGTCCTTTCGAATAGTCAGCAGCTAGTTTGAAATTTCTGAAATCAGAGACTGTCATTAAGTCAGCTAACCTTAAAGAAACTTTCCACAAATTACACGTCTGTGTCAAACTGTGACTACTTTTTGAGGATTCTTCAAATATGTCAGTAAAGGAGAATGGCTATCATACATTTAAACATATTAATTACACAGAGCAAGCAAATGAAAAAAACCTTAGCTGTGTAGAGGACCCGGGAAAAAAAGCAGCCACATGCTGCTGAAGCCTCCAGCAGACAATGCATCTAACTCAGTGTCATCTGCAAACTAACTGAGGCTGCACTCAATTCCCTTGTCCAGATCATTGATAAAGGTATTAAACAGAACTGACCCCAAAACTAAACCCTGGAGAACACCATTTGTGACCAGCTGCCAGCTGGATTTAATTCCATTCATGACCACTCTCTGGGCCTGGCCATCCAGCCAGTTTTTACCCAGTGAACGGGATACCCATCCAAGCCATGAGCAGCCAGTTTTTCCAGGAGAAAGCTGGGGGAAAATATTCCTCCAACGTCCACATACCCAAAAAGGGCACAAACCCAGCTGAGAAGCATAGGTTCTTACAGTATAAACAAGCATCTCAGGTTCTCTATTGAAAACTGCCAGCAGGTAGATAGGTCCGTACAGAAGAACAGTCTCAATTTCTCCCTGTAGTTCGTAATTCCGTAGTTTATGTGACCTGACTTAATTTTTCTCATTATAAATGAAACAGTGTTATTCTGCACTAACATACACTCTAGATAGCTTCTTCTCATGACTAAGTTTGGAAACCAGACGTATGAGCAAGATAAACCTTCTTTGTTACAAAAGTTGCATTCACGAATTGTAGTTAAAGCTGATGGAAATGCTGAAAAGCCATAAGACAGTGAGCACAAGGCTGTCACAAGAAGTGTTTTATTAACATGTTCTGCTTTCTACAGATGACAGTCCATATTTAGATTGATCATAAAGTGGTAGTGAAGCACTTCATAACACATACGAAGGTCCTAATATAAATTACATTTTGAAGATAGATGGAATAATTTATATTTCAAAATAATTTCATTTTTGAACTAGAAAAGAATGCTGCATTCAAAATTATCATTTTGATAGGAACACCAGATTTTTTTTTGTCTTGTGTGTACAGGTGGAAGTCCCTTACCAGATTACCCTTAGTTTTAGAAAAGGCTCAACATGCAAATGTCATTCAGGACTTCAAGTTTTTCCAAGCTCTGGCTCCTGAAAAGGTAGCTAATGTATATGACAAATTTCTTTCTGTTCTGTGCAACATATATAGGAAATGCAATTGTATTTTTCATTTAGAAATTATCTATAAATAACCCTACATATCCCTCTCATTCCATGGACAAACTAGAACAAAAATGCATAAACAGAGGGATCTAAGAAACCTCCCCAGTTTTCACTCTCATTTTTCACATTTTCAAATTCCAGATTAGAAGGTAGTACACACTGATTCACTGGTTTAACAGAATTTTTAAAAAGCAACCAAATTAAAAAAACAAACAAACAAACAAACAAAAAAAAACTAAAACAACCACCAAATAAACCTCAAAACCTAGAATTTTCCCATACTTCAACAGAAAACCTAAATATCTTCAGTTAACTCAAAGACAGTGTGAAAATACTAGAACAACAGACAGTGAATTCCTGGTTACACACAATAATTCTTTCAGAACTTTCTCCTATGAAATCAGAAGCCAGGAAAGTTCTGAGTTAGATTTCATTATGAATACTTTCTACAACTCTAATTGAATATCGGTGGAGCTCCTCCATCTTTACCTGGCTCAGCCCTTGAAAGTCATGGGAACAGATAAATCTTCCCTTGCAGTTGTAGTAGAAAAGGAAAAATACACCAATTCTATGGCCCTAGGCCAAAAAAAGTTTCCGTTCACACTTTTCTGACCATTCTTTGCCAAAAGTTAATGGTCAGTGCCCCTCACAACCAGTGAGGGGTATGAACTCTTAATATCCTCTCCTAAACTTCGTGGTACCATGAGTCTCCTCCATACCACAATCTCATATCCTAATGTGGCCAGCAAAGCTCTTAACAGCAGTCAGTGAAAAACAACATGCACCAGAGAGAGAAGGCAGTTGCCATTGGTCCCCTGCTGTTCAACAGCTGTAGAAACAGCATTGCGTAACAAGAAAACAGTGTTAGTGGGGAAGAAATATTCTGGTATAAAACATTACATTTACTATAGCAAAGTCAGTGGTTTGGTATATTGTCAGACAGGTCAGTAGAAACTGGCTCAGCTTTGGGTTTTACCAAGTCACTCGAAAAAAGGACTGTCTGAAGGTCTCACAGCAGAAGATACTTGATACATATTAGCACTGGTGTCCCATTCTGATCAAGCTTTCGATGAGAAAAAGGTTTGATTTCCAATAATTTACCTAAGAGCAGAACAAAAGAGTGAGCTTAGGTTTGCCCTTCAGACTAGAGGTGTTCTCTTCAGTGGCATTGATTAGCTCACTGTAATCCAGTTGTCGTGTTTTTCTGAAATAGTTAAGGTCTAGTAATCAATGCACATCAGTAATGTTTAAAATTGACCAGACAGAAACTGGAAGATATTCCTTTAGGAATGTTTTACATTGTTGAAGATGTGTTATCTTTTAAAGTGTTACTACTGCAGCACACTCAGTGATGTATTAGTAAGACCATGAGAAAAATGTAAATAGAAAATCTCTCCAAAATGGACCATTTCAAAATAAACTCATGTTTTCAAATTTGAAGGAATCAAGAGTTCTTTGCAGTATTTCAAGTTGTAGGTGCTTTTTTTGTTTCCTTTTTGGAGGCCCAGAAATTGTCTTCTTCATGTGAATTCACAGCTATATCACGTAGAGACAGTTTCATTTCCTGCCCTGTCCATAGGTTAATACCTAGGTAAATCTCAGGATACATATGACTGTGGATGAACTGTCAAGGTACCCAAAGTATTTTCACAGATTCAAAGCTTTCAGCAGTTATCAGAAACATTTTGTTCATCTGCATCTTTCCCAACTAGCTGCGAAAGTGTTTGTGATTTGCACAGTCCCACAGAAGAATTGCCCGACTGAAGCTGTGATGAAACTATCATCTGGGGGCAAGTTCTTACTCCATTACCCCTTGGCTAGACTTCCACTGTCCTCTGCTAACATGTATCCACCAAAACAGACAAGTACCCTGAAAATTATTCCTTTACTGAGCCTATCCAAAGTGTTAATAGGTGAGAGAACTAAGTAAGTGTTTAAAACTAGATTTTTAGGTGACAAAAAGCATTTTGATGTTAATTATCTTAATTTTGTGCCCCTTGTGAAGCTGGAATTTTGCTGGTTATGCATTTTCTATAGCAGAAGATTGATCTCCTCCTATGAAAAAAATGTTCAAGGCAGTCTTTACGTGGTACAAAGAAACCTGTGCATAAACCATAATCTCTTTACAT